AGTAGTTGAAGGACTATAGCAGTGGTTCTCAACCTTTCTAATGCCGCAACCCCTTAATGCAGTCCCTCATGTTGTGGTGCTCCCCAACCATAACATTATTTTTGTTGCTATTTCATAATTGTAATGTTGCTGCTGTTATGAATTGTCATGTAAATATCTGATCTGTAGGATGTATTTTCATTTACTGGACGAAATTTGGCACAAATATCCAATACACCCAAATTTGAATACTGGTGGAGTTGCGGAGGGTATTGATTTTGTCATTTGGGAGTTGTAGTTGCTGGGATTTATAGTTAACCTACAATCAAAAAGCATTCTGAACTCCAACAATGATGGAATTTAACCAAATTTAACACACAGAACTCCCATGACTAACAGAAAATACTGAAAGCGTTTAATGGGCATTGACCTTGAGTTTTGGAATTGTAGTTCACCTACATCCAGAGAGCACTGTGGACTCAAACATTGATGGAACTGGACCAAACTTGGCAGAGATACTCAATATGCCTAAATATGAACACCAGTGGAGTCTGAGTAAAATAGACCTTGACATTTGGGAGGTGTAGTTGCTGCTATTTATAGTTCACCTACAATCAAAGAGCTTTCTGAACCCCACCATTTATAAAATTGGGTCAAACTTTCCACACAGAATCCCCATTATCAACCAACAGAATAAATAAAATACTGTGATTTTTGATGGTGTTTGGTGATCCCTGTGATACCCCCCCCCCCCCCCCCCCGTTTGAGAAACACTGGACTATAGTCTTAGGATCTTGAGATCTCATGATGTCACTTGATGTTTGATTGATGAAAGAATAGAAACAGAACCTTTTGGGTTTGAGTGGCAGGCTTTGGGTGGCAAAACTGAAGGGCACTAGTAGTTGATGCTGGCAGAAAATATATAAATCAGCACAATCAGATGTATAATTGGGTATTTATTTCAGTGACCATAATTCTTTCATAAAGCGGTACTATAAGAACAGAAAACTTCAGTCTGATTCACTTCTACAAAAGTATGGACACAATATCACACTGGCTTCACCAAAGCTGCCTGTGTACAACACATGATCACTGGACAGTGTTTAACCATCCAAATTACTTCTCAGAGCAGGTATTTGAATTTTTCTTGTCCATCATTCTTGCACAGTAGTGGCTTTCCAGAATTTTCCTGCATAAAAGAAAAGAGAGGCATATGCATTCCCAGCCAAATTATATAATCCAACAATTGAAGCACAAATGATAATTAACTAACCTAAAACCCAACCAGAAATCAGTGATACAAGATGTATGATAAGGGCAGGAACTGTGCAGCCTGCAGGTCACATGTGGTTGTGGCTCAGGGGAGCCTTGTATGACCACAGGAGGGTCCACATACATTTTTTTAAATGAAGGCAGATAATAGTGACATCCCACAACAAATGTGATTGCCACTCACAGCACTCAGTATAGAAAAACCAGCCTCCAAAATTGGTAAAATGAGCACATGTTCTTTGTAATTTTGGTTTGATTCTCAACCAAGTGCAGGGAGGGAGGTATTTTTTTGTTTGCCAGTGAGGAGCATCATGATGAAATGTCACCAAAAAAAAAAAGTCTAGGGACCCACATGTAGTTTAAAGGCAGAAGTATTAGGAAGACTCTTCTGTTTCCAAGTTGAGGAATCCTCTTCCACAAGAAACCCAATTAGTTTCCTCTTTGTTCCTTTTTTCACCAGCAGAGTAAGCTCTATTTATTTTAAAAAATAAATTTGATTTAGGTTGTTGTAGATTTTTTCGGGCTATATAGCCATGTTCTAAAGGCATTTTCTCCTGACGTTTCACCTGCATCTATGGCAAGCATCCTCAGAGGTAGTGAGGTCCTCAACAACCCAGTGATTCCGGCCATGAAAGCCTTCGACAATACAAATTTGATTTATTTTTATTCATATTGTAGAAGTGACATGCTGTGTGTTTTACATATGTTTAAAACTATCTGCTTTTAGGACTAGTGTTCTATTTTTAAAAAACAAAACAAAAAACCTTTTGTAGCATATCATTAAACAGCTTGGGACCGGGCTATTTGACAAACCGCATCTCCCTCTTCAGACCAACGCGGACACTGCAATCATCGGAGGAGGCCCTGCTCTTGGTCCCACCCCCATTTCAAGTGCGGCTTGTGGGAATGAGAGAAAGGACCCTCTCTGAGGTCACCCCCTACTTCTGGAACTCCTTAAGGAACTAAAGATGGCCCCTTATCTCACTGGTTTACGAGGAACTCTGGGATATTATTTCTATTCTAAATTATTGCAAGCTGTCTTGAGAGTCCCATGGCAGGAGAAAAGTGTGGTTTAAATTCAAGAAACAAAACAAATAAATATATAAAGATTAAGAGTCTATAAAAGGAAGACAATCCTTCACTTTCAATTACATGGATTCCGGAGTTATAATCCATTCTTGCTTTGTTATGCTGGTCCATGATCCACTTCTTCAAAAACAGCCTTGAAGCCCTTGGCTCCAATTGAGCCGTCACTTTTGAAACAGACTGTGAAGTAGCTTCCATTCGAAAAGAGTCTGAAGTGCCCTTTTTGGCCACAAAATCTTCCTATAAACCGCAAAAAAGGAACACTGTTTGTTGACAGCTATGGCAATCTGTTTCTACCTGAGAAGGACTATTGGCCACATCTTGTGGCTTTTGCTACTCCTTATCAGATTATCATGAAATCCAAACCAAATGCAGTATATTCAAAGTACATGAACCCATACATGTATTATGTACATGATTAGATATGTGCATGATTAAAATGCTAACATTGATTTTAAATATAACATCAAATACTCAACAGACCACATTATATCGGTGCTTCCTACATAAGTCTATCAGTTGCCAGCAAAAATATTAATTTTACTACTAGAATGTGTATTCTGCTGATGAAATTACAGCACATATTTTGAAGTTGTTTCCCCACCCAGTTAATAGGTATTCTCATCTATCTCAAATAATACATACCTGATTTCTGAAACTCGCTTACTTGGAAACAGCATTCCTTCTCATTGCATAAAACCCAAGCTGGTGATTTTTGTCTTCCTCTGACAACAGATTTTATATTTAGGCATCTTCAAGCATGAAACCCTTTTCCAACCTATTCAATTACACTTGCTTTTCTGAAATAGTTCTTGCATACAAGTTGCACCTCAAGGGTAAAACTATAATCTAACTCTGCATTCTGTCTCCAGCCAAAATCTCCCTTTTGCCTCCCTCTGGAGCAACTCTGAAGCACAATAATTTCAACTGTATTTGTGTGAAATTGCTTTTTTCTATAACACAGAGTTTTGAAACATTATCAGCATGTTTGCATTCCCTGAAATAAGCCACAGGGGGGGCTCTATAATTGTACTTTTAAAATCTTAAACTGGATGTTCAGATATACAAGGTCATTGAGAGCTCACATGTTTCCCAGGAAAGATTTTAAAAACTTGAGGGGATCGTTAGAAGAAAAAAAAACCTAATCCTATGTTGATTTTATTTTATTGCTTTTTCATTTTTATTATCTATAGTCCTTACTTTATTTGGGTTTAACATATATTGTGAGCTACCTTGGAACCCAATATCGGAAGAATGGTAATGCATTAAATACTGTAAGGCCAAAGGCAGCATATTCAATTTTCCAGTAGTTAAAATCTAGACACTGTAGCTTCGGGGTTTATAGATGCCATGAGCTGCCAGAAAGACAATTGGATGGATCTTAAAGCAAATCAAGTTTGAACTATTGTAAACTTGTAGTTGATGCTTCACACACTATCAAGTTGGTTTCCTATAATAACCCTATGAATAAGTTATTTCCAAGATACCCTGTTATCAACAGCCCTCCTCAGGTCTTAACGTCATAAGACCATAGCTCCTGAGCACGTTTATAGCTTCCTGTTGTATACTACATCTACCAAGTACAGTAGTGTGTACCCTTTTGTTGTTTAGGCAAAGTACAGTAGAGTCTCACTTATCCAACATAAATGGGTCGGCCGAACATTGGATAAACAAAAATGTTGGATAATAAGGAGGGATTAAGGAAAAGCCTATTAAAAGCCTATTAAATGTCAAATTACGTTATAATTTTACAAATTAAGCACCAAAAATCATGTTTTACAACAAATTGACAGAAAAAGCAGTTCAATACACAGTAACGTTATGTAGTAATTACTGTATTTACGAATTTAGCACCAAAACATCGCAATGTATTGAATTAACTGTGGATCCAGGGGGGAGGCAGATTGTGTTGGATTATACAGGACGCTGGATGATTGAAGGTTGGATAAGCAAGACTCTACTGTAGATACAAACACACAGAGAGGTAAATTGTAACCCGTGGCATAATATAGTCACAACTCCTGAAGTGGAAGGATATTTTGATTAGCAGGTACAGTCACATCCCAAGGCTCCTTTGAGCTTAGCCCACACTCTTTCACTCATGGGAAGCCATGTGTATTTTTTTCTCCAATATGAATGTATTGTTGAGAGCCAGTGTGGTATAACAATCCAAAACTAAGTAAAGCAGAAATCAAATTTGCACTGGGTAACCTTAGGCAGCCTTCAAGGAAGGCAATTTAAGCCTCCTTGGATTCCCCCCCCCCCCCCCCAAGAAATCCCTAATACAAGTCACCTTATTGGAGTCAATGTGGTTCAGCAGTTTCAGGATTGGACTAGGACTCTGGGAGACCACAGTTTGAATCCCTGCCCTGCTGTGGATATTCAATGAACAATCTTGGGCAAATCACAGTTAGAGAAAATGTACAGACAAGTCCCCTCTCAATAAACCTTGCCAAGAAAACCTAAGAATAGGTCACATAAGAAGATACCTATCTGTCTATCTATCTGGGAGCAATTTCTGTTGTAAGCGAACTATACCAACAGTCTTGAATGAGAAATTGGCCTGACAATATACTTGCTTCCTGTTTTTATTATTTCTAATCAAAATAGACAAGCAAGGGATTAAAAATAGATTAGCAATATGCACACTGAGTCCAACATACCAAGCAATTCCGAATGTTGATCTGGCCCATCATAAACACTCAGAGAGTCCCAAATACAGTTTCTGGAGTCTTCCATTTCAAGATCTCTGACCACACCTTTCAGCTTGTTTCCTGAAGCAGAGTAGACAGTCCAAGTGCAGCTGACTAAATCTGGGTAAATATTTGGGTAATTTGGAGATACAATTTCAGCCACTCCTAAGGGGATCAGATCCAAAACTGCACATCCTTGAAAAAGAGAGAGGAAATGAAGAACATACCATCACAAACAACAACAACAACTTTATTTTTATTCCACGCCTCCATCTCCCCAAAGGGACTCAGGATGGCTTACATAGGGCCAAGCCCAACAGAACAGTTGAAACGTGACACATTAAAATGCATATCACCAAAATGATAACAAAAAAGCAATATAATGAAACAAAATAACAACATTAAACAGTATATAAAACGAACATCAAACCAACAAATGATCACTGGTAGCATAAAAAGGCAGAATGTATTCACTTAACATGATTGTATTTTGTTGCCAAGCAGGGGAGAAGTGATTGTGGGATATTTTGATATCTGGGGTAGAAAATCTACACTAATTGCATCAAATAAAAGAATACATGCACACACACACAATTGTGTAGCCATGTCTAATATTGAATTTAGCTATATTTGTCTCAGGGAAGCTTGCTCTTATGTGGTGCACACCAACCAGACATAGAATCATAGAGTTGGAAGAGACCTTGTGGGCCATCCAGTCCAACCTCCTGCCAAGAAGCAGGAAAATAGCATTCAAAGCATCCTGACATAAATCCAACCAAGTTCAGTTGGATTTTGAAATTAATCTGAATTCAATAGGAACTAGTTATTCTGCTAAGCATAACCTAAAAATGTTCATTGTCAATGAAGTGTTAGGAACACAGTCTTGCATTCTACAGCTATTCCAGAAGTTCAAGATGGTTGAAATCACACCAAGCTGAGGCCAATATCAAACACTTGTGGTAGTGATGTTCTGTTTTCTGGATTCATGTCTGCCTTTTTATCACAGAGAGCAGAAGTAAGGCACTTATGACCTGCGAGATGTTGCTAGACTACAGCTCCCATTATCCCTGACAAGCTGTCATGAGGATTTAGGTTGATAGGAGGTGTAGTACATCAGCATCTGATATGCCGCAAGTTCCCCATTTGGTGCAAAGTCATAGTCCACAGAACAGCTGCAGCAACTCATCACTGCACCTTGATTCTATGATTGCCACGGCATGTAGTTTTCATTTTAGAGGACAGACCACGCTTTAACTATAAAAATAAAAGGAGAGGTACAAAAGCAATTACTTCAGCATGATTCTGACAAGCACTATACAGGTTTTGGCTGACAGAATTTATGTATTTGTACTCTTGACTTTCAATGGTGGTGCATAACAATAAAATAAGATGCACATGAAAAGCCATAAATATCAATTACATCATAAAACATAATTATATAGAAGGAAAGGTAGTCCAATTAGCTCTACACTAAAATTCCAAGGGGTGGAAAGGTCAAATGCCTGACAGAATAGCTTGTTACTAATGAAAGCACTCCAAGGCAATCCAAGGGGTGGATTCCTGCAGCCCTCACCATGCTTTGTATCTACAACTTCTACCAACCTTTACCATTCTATATAATGGTGAGGCTTATGGGAGTTACAGTATATAATATATACAGTTTTATACTTGTCCATCCCTTAGTCAAGGAAACAGATGATACAGATCTCTTCTGGTAGGTGAAAAAAAACAAGACATAATAAGACCCTAAATTCTAGAGTCTAGAGATAATTAAACTCACTCCTGATGATGAGATCCAAGGTGTTTCCATAATAGATCTCAGCTCCATGGGAGGTCGATCCAGATATTTCCTAAACACATTGTAGGTCTCAAAGCAGGAGCAAACACTTTGGTGGCATGTCAGTCTAGCCCCACAATATACCCAAGTATCTGGAAGTAAGTTAGAGCTTCATGTTTTGACTACAAAGGCCTGAAGGTGGCTCTGTAGTCACACTGGCTGAATAACAGAATCATTGCTCAAATAAGCTTTATAATCACATTCCTCCAAATGTGGTACCAAGACTTCTCCAGGCCTTTGTACAGTGGTTCTCAGCCTGTGGGTCCCCAGGTGTTTTGCCCTACAACTCCCAGAAATCCTAGCTAGTTTACCAGCTGTTAGAAGTTTTGGGAGTTGAAGGCCACACAGGTTGGGGACCCACAGGTTGAGAACCACTGCCTTAATATGTTGAGTGCAAAGGTTTTCCATATGCTTGGGAACTTGCTATTGTTGTCGCAGGAATTACATAAGTATTCAAATTCCCATGACCTGTGTCTTTAGGTAAATGTTTGAATAGAATTATGAAAGTTAGGACACACAAATAAGAAAACATGTTATTAAAGGGGGAAAGGAAGCTTCAAAGTCTTTTTAAATGAGTGAAAAGTCCTTAAAATTAGGAACAGCCAACTCAATTGCAGTTTTGCTTTTATTAGAAAACATCTCACCAAGAACGTCTTTTGCAGATCCAAATCCTTCATATATTGTAAGCCCTCCATGACATTTAGAATAAGATTTTTCAATCACAAAGTCCATGAAATCCAACTGAACAGTGACATTTAATGGAGCAACAATTCTCCAGTGACAACTATGGTAGCAATAACAAAATATTAACATTACAGCCATTTCAGACAGAATGAACTCAGCTTAATACATTGTAAACAAACCAAGAATAATTCTGAAGTCCATAAGCCCCTCGTCCCTTGACATGCCTGTGCGTAGTTCCCCTCCTATTAGTCTAAAGCTCGGTTTGCTCTTAGTTTAATCAAGAAAACATGGTTAAATCTTATCTTATTATGTTTAGCATGTATCCAGGACCAGGACTTGGGGGGGAGGGGGGATGCTGGACTTTCAGATTTTTTAAAACCACAATGCTCATCATCCCTGGCAACTGGGTGTGCTGGTTAGTGCTGATGGGTGTTGTGATCAAGACATAGATCTGATGCTACATCAAGAAATGTTAGGATGGATTTTTAATAAGCTGAGCTTGCTCTGTCTGAAATGTCACAGGGATAGAAAGAAGAAAAGGAAATATGTCCAATATTGCAATAACTAGAACATGAAAAGACAAACTGTAAAAGGTCAGCTGAACTGAAATAGAACAGATATGGGAAAAGAATATATCATGGAGAAATTTATTAGGACAGAAGGGCAATGTGAAACAGTCCCTCAGAGTTGGAGTTATTTAATGTAAATCACGTCTTTCCTCCAATATGGGGCCTGATCTGGCTTCCAGTATGAAACAAAGCGCAGCTAAGTGCATAATAAAAAGTTTTACAAAATATATTACTTTTTTAAAATGTTGAGTATTTCTCTCCTGTTTTCTACCACAAGGCTCATATTGAACTGGCTTTGCTGCGCTCTGCTGAATATCAATGCCAAATATACCCACATTCTCAACTATGGCACACTAATTTCAGTATGATTCATACACAAAGAAAGGTTCTTGGATTTTTAAAGAGTTTAAATTTCTGAGCTCTGCCCCACCTGGCATCTTCCAGATACTCTGTACTACAGTTTTCACCATTCTGACCCAGCATGTTTCATTGGATTTGTAGTCAAACACCTCTGGAAGGGGAAAGCCTTGGCAAAAAATATGGGACTACAATCAACAGACAACTTGATTCTGCATAAGTTCAAAAAGTAAAAGCCATGACCTAACCCAAAGGTGTTGGAATAGCTATAAGGAAACCCTCGAGAATGAATGATTCCTTCCTGAGATGTCAGGACGACATCTCTGCAGTAGATAAGCTGCTGGTTGACTTCATCAGCATAATTCATGCCATTGGCTATCTTGTGACCTGGAGAAAAAGTGATTAACTAACATATTCTACCCATTACAATATCACTCCTCCTGTTTGGACAATCCTATCATCAACAGCTAAAAACTTTTATGCATATGCATTTATTAACTATTTTTACGCTGCTCTGTACTTGAACATCTCAGAACAGGGTACACTTAGAAGTGATGAATAAAACTATATTTGCATAATCTGGCAGTCGTTACAACACCAGAAGATAGCCTTTAATGTGCAGAGTAGCAAGCTTGCGGAAACCAGAGCTAAAGTAGATGAATGCCAGCGGCTGTAAAAGGTACTAGGCCACCCCCCTTCTTTCTCCCTTTTAGGAAATACGCATGCAAATAACCATTCAGAGACAGAGTTAAAATCAAAAGTATTTACTTACTTAGAAAAGCTTGCATGATGTAAATTCATACAGGTAACAGATCTTTTCGGTTACATTGACAGCAATGAGTAAAGGCTTATTGATGGTAAGAAGCCTCTCTTCCCAAAGCGGTTACATCCCAAAAAGTAGAGCAAAACAAAATAGATGGGCAAAAATGGTGAACTGGGCAAATGGGTGAAAAGGAGGAAGAACAAAGGATGCATCCCCCTTTTATACCCTTTCATCCATGTGGTCAGACATACATGACCCAAACACCTTTAGAAATGGTGGACAACTCATTAGCTTACATGCATATTTAAATCAGGGGCAATAAACTTTGGAATTTCAGTAGATCGCATTACAGCATGGCACAAACACAGGAATGTGTGTGAGATTGCATTTACCCAACAAGAAGTGCCTTATGAGAACATGTCTAGCCCAATGGTAAAAATAATGGGATTGCAAATGGGCTCTGTCACTCTGTCTTTTTACAAAGAGGGAAATGTGTTGCAAGAAAAGGACATTAACCCTCTTTAATGTCCAGTTTGATCTTTAGTTTACAGAATCTGGATCATGCCAAGAACTCTGATCCAAAGGTTGGTTGTTGAAGAGAGTAGAAGATTTAAGGATGTTACCTCGTCCATTAACTCCCATTAGGTTCGCAGGTACCTCTGGTAACGGTGCTGAGGCTTCATATCCAGTGTTATTTATTTGGATCTCCACTGATCCCTTCTCTGTTACAACATACAAGAAATATAAAAGGTTGGAACATAAAATTGTTGAATGAACAACAAATTGACCAACTGGTCACAAAAAAGCATGAACCAGTGATGCTAAACATACAAAGAAAAATAACTGGTGCTGGAATTTGCCCATTTTTCTTTTTCTTCCACATCCTGATTCCCTGTTGTGTTGCATCTTTTTTTCTTGTAAATTACAACCTTCTTCAAGCCTCCTCAGTGGTTGAGAAGGACGGGGTACAAATGTTTGAAATAATAATAATAATAATAATAATAATAATAATAATAATAATAATAGCTAAATAAATACAATTTATTAAATACAGTTTATTTATTTAATATTTATGGTATTTATATACTGCCCTTCTGAACCCTGAATGAGACTCAGGACGGTTTACAGTGTAGGCAACTAGGGACAACAATTATGTGTTTTCTCTGAGCACATTTTCAAATATACTGTACACATAGTAGGCATACACATCAATGCAATATTATACTGTTTTCTTCCTTCCCTGTTGGAATTAGCTGTATGTGCATATTTTGACAGGGAACTATTTGGGCCTGACATGGTCTTAAACCATGCAATTGCTTTGCTTGAGTACTTCAAGGGTAGTTGCTGACCCAGTCTGGGACTCCAAATAGCTTACAAAAATTAATACAGACACAAGTTATTTTGAAAAGTCACATCATATAAGAGTGAAATGTGCAATTATGCCACCGAATTAAAAGCAGTTAAAAGAAAAAGAGAAAGAAAAACAGCAAATGCAGAAAATAAAGCACACCACAAAAGACCTTTTCCTCCTGAGCAACCATCTTTCAAAGCCCTGCCGAAACAGAAAGGTCTTCATCTGCCTCCAGAAGGATGGCAAAGAAGGCTCCAATCTGACCTTTCCTGGGGTATTTAGAGCCTGGGGAGAGTCACCAAAAGGCCCTTGTGTGATGTTCCCACCAAATCTCCCTGTGTTACCATTAGTATATGTACTTTAGCTGGACCGTAGCAGAATTCTATGGAGACATTCAAATGCTGGAGCTCAGATATCCTAAGAATGCAAAATTTAGGAATATTGAATTCAATACGGAGAATTGAGGAGGAATGTAACAGTGCTTACCTTTCATTCTGGCCATGATCCAGTCCAAGAAGAAACTCACCCTTGCATAAACACCTGGTCTCTTTGACTTGGGGCAGCCAACACCCCAACTGGCAATGCCATGGAGTATAAATGGCTCCTCTTCATTTTGGCAAACCAATGGGCCACCTGCATCGCCCTGGACACACATCCCCACAACACATACAACAAGTTTTAGCTTTACATTTTACCGAATACACCTCAGCTGTCACACACAGAAAGTGTAAAAGCGATTTTTTTCCCAAGGGAAATATGAACAAAACAATTTCCTTCTCCATCTCTAATGCCAACTCACTTGACAAGCATCTTGACCTTCAGATGATGCAAAACCAGCACAAAGCATTCTGGATGTAATTCCTCCAGAGTGGTTAGCATAATAGTTTTGCTCACAGATGTCATTATTGAGAATGGGTACTTGAGCTTGCTGTAAGCGACTGGCAAGGCCCCCACCTGTAAAAGAAGTCAAGAGGCAAAAGGTCACTTATGAACCATACAATGTTATTTGCATGGCTTAGAGAGGACATATTGTAAGGGACATACAAGTGAAAACATCCAATGCACTGATGAGAGGCAAGCAAACTGAAGAGAAAGTCTGAAAAGTGAAAAGATAGCTCTCATTATACTAGGTAACAATTTGTGTTCCTGGATTTAAATGTCATTTCCTAATTGGTCCTATCATAAAAACATGGGAAAAGCACATTTTGCTATAGTTTTTCAATGAATAGCTCATGAACCTCAACCGATTCAAAATAGTTTGCGACAGCCACAAAAACAAAGTTTCTGGAGTATAACTACTACTTTTAAAGTAAGTACCACACAATTAAACAGGAAATCACACTTTCAAACCAGGAACAGATTTCTTTTTTAATTATTACATATTGTTATAGGAAGAAATGCCACACAGAAGATGAAGCAAGCTTGTTTTCTGCTGCTTCAATGTGAACTGATGAATTCAAATGGCAAGAATAGAAATTTCTTCTAAATTATAAGAAGGTTTTTATTTTGCTTTAAGAGCTGTTTGAAAGTGGAACAGATTGGCACGGATTGTGGCAGACCCTCTATTTTTGAAGGTCTTTGAACAGAGGTTGGATGATTACCTTTCAGGTGTGCTTTAGCTGTGTATTCCTGCAAGGCAGGAGGTTGGACCAAGTGGCACTTGCCCTCTCTTCCAACTCAATGTTTTATCAAACAGGCTGGATTAACAGCAATTCAACCTTTGTCCAGCGCACCAGAGCAACTGTGTGCTATAATAACTGTCAAATTGTACCACTCCTAATGTTTTTTTCCTGGTTGCCACAAAAGCTATTCATCGACATGAAGAAAGAATTTTGTCAAAGGCATTGCCATTCCCACTCCATGAAGTAAATGTGGGGAAAATGTGGCTCACTGGCCATACATGACGCCCAATGTCTTTTATTGGGCCCATGGGTTCCTCAGAAAACCCCTTAACCCATCATTAAAATACACATACAAGCAAAAGGAAAACAGAGCTAAACCCAAATATAACACATACATACACACTCCTCAAAAGCTCCACCTAAGATAAAACTAGAAGTGATATAACATCTCATCTATCCAAACGTATCTCCCTCTATATTTTGCCTCGCAGTTTAAGATTGTCCAGGGAGGCCCCGCTAGCTGCGCAAACGCGTTTGGTGGAGACGAGGGACAGGGCCTTCTTGACGGTGGCCCCATGCCTGTGGAACTCACTCCCCAGCAAGATTAGGTTGGCTTCATCCCTCCTTTTGTTTTAGGAAGAAGCTTATATCATAGTTTGGGCTTTTGGACAGCAGGCATGACAGCACTTTGGATGTTGAATCGGACTGGAAGTGGCTATATGGTTTGATAATAATGTTTTAATTTGTTTTAACTCAATGTTTTATTTATTGTTGTTATAGTTGTTTATATTTGTTTGTATGTTGCGGCATCAAATTGTTGCCGGTTGTAAGCCGCCCTGAGTCTACCTCTCAGGGGTTGTGAAGGACGAGGTAGAAATGTTGGAAATAAACACCACTTCCAGATTGGCCAAAAAGGTGCACATGCAGAATGGAGATGAAGTGAACTGGGCTGCAGTCAGCACGGTTGCCTCTCCTTGCTAAAAAGTAAATAACTCTCAACACTCATTAGAAAAAAAAACTGGCTTACCGTCTTGGGTCCTCCCCCAGCTAGTTGCAATGCAAAGCAGGGAGGAAGGCAAAGGTTCAGTGGAGTTGGGCAAGCATACCGGCCTCACCACAACATTGTAGGAAAGAGGAGCTTCTATGTGGATCAGTGCTATATCCGAATTGTAGCTTGTGTCATTGAAATCTTCATGCATTATAATGGCTTTTACTCTTCTAACCTACATGAAGAAGATCCAAACAACAGCTCTGGATATAAACCATCTACAGACCAACTAAGAAAATCCAACAAATGCTACATTCAGCAAAGGACAAGAGGGATCCTCTCACCTCTGCAGAAGTCTACCGTATACCATGCAGCTGTGGACAGGTCTACATAGGGACCACCAAATGCAGCATTGCCTAAACTCAAATCAAGAAAGATGAAAGGTACTGCAGACTAATTCAACCAGAGAAGTCTGCTATTGTAGAACACCTGATGAACCAATCTGGACACAGTATATTATTTGAAAACACAGAAATCCTGGACCGCTCTAACAACTACCATGTCAGACTACACAGAGAAGCCATTGAAATCCACAAGCATGTGGACAATTTCAACAGAAAGGAAGAAACCATGAAAATGAACAACATCTGGCTACCAGTATTAAAAACTCTAAAATCATAACAGTAAATAAAGAACAACACTCAAAAACAGGGGAATTCCAGACAAGAATGAACCAGGGTCAATTAATCACCTCCCAACATAGGATTCCCCCAGGCAGTAAGAAACCAGACCTTGAAAACTGCTAGGCCTTTGAATGCTAATCAAGGTGGCCAACTGCAACATTCATCCTTGCCTCAAACAGATAAGAGTTCTTTCTAGCACACTGGAGATTCCACAATACATATACCTCACTTGTCTAGTTTCCAACAGATCTCACAACCTCTGAGGATGCCTGCCATAGATGTGGGCGAAACATCAGGAGAGAATGCTTCTGGAACATGGCCATACAGCCCAGAGAACACACAACAACCCAACAGTTTGTATTTGTAACTGGACTAGTAGAAGAAAATGGCTGTTAACATTCATGCTTGCTCTTAACCACCTTTAGGATCAATATCACAAGAAAGGTAGGATGAAATTAAAGTAAACGAATCCATTAAATAAATTCCTGTCTAGCATCTCTTTGATAAAGAATCTGCTCCTTCCCCTATGGATTTTTTCCTAATCAAAGGGGCAAAATTACAAATAAAGGCAATCCTGTTCTAAAGGCTCTTTGTTCTACCTGCTCATTTGGTTCCTTCCGAATTCTGTCATATTCTCCAGCAACAACAGTCCAATGTGAGATCTCTTTTGATCTATAAAAGACAAAGGCTTGTAGTGCAATGAATCCTGCATTACTCATTTGATGACATAGTATTGATGTTACAGGTTGATGGCTACGTTTTGTATAAATTTTGCAGAATTAAAGGCTCTGAAGTGTCTATACTGGAAGAAAGAATTGGCAATAAATGCACTGTTTCACAGAATTAACTGCCTAAAAGGTTACTATGATGCATGTTTATTTTCCTATGACAACTATTCTAAAAGGAGCTCCCGGTGGCACAATGGGTTAAATTCTTGTGCCGGCAGGACTGCAGGGTGAGCTCCTGTCTGTTAGCTCCAGCTTCTCATGCAGGGAAATGAGAGAAGCCTCCCACAGGATGATAAAACATCTGACGTACCCTGGGCAACATCCTTGCAGACAGCCAATTCTCTCACACCAGAAGCAACTTGCAGTTTCTCAAGTCACTCTTGACATGCAAACAAAAAAAAACTATTCTAAAGTCCCAGTGATTAAGATTACTTGATGTTATGCCTGCTTTTTAGGACAATACAATTGCCTGTCAATTTGGAAGCTTGGGTGATCAAAGTTAGTAGACTCTAGGGAAATTGAAACAGATGTAGACTAGTTAACCAATGGCAACAAATCCCTCAGATAAGGAGTGGAAAAAACTTTTTTACTTCACTTTCTTTTTAAAAGTTTGTTTCACAACTAAAGTTCTTGACAGTGTTGTCTATCATTGCAGGTGAGATCTGAGCTTGGAAATATGACTTCCAGACTATAGCTCCCCAAATCCCCCTCCTTGATTGGCAGCGCTGAAGGTCTCTAGGATTTGTAGTCCAAGATCAACATTTCCACATTCTAGGTCATATGAATTCTTAGGTCTCCAAGAATATTTCATAACATTACAAAAATTCATTCTGAGTCTTCTCCAAGATGTACAAGCACCATTGCAATTAGAGTGTCTTTTGAGCCTACATAACAATAAGGGCATTTTGCCAGATTAGTTGACTTACATTTGAACACAGTGAGCTGCTGTGAGTACCCATTCAGAGCCAATGATGACAGCCCCACACTGGTAGTCACCCAGAAAGTGCAAACCTACATGCCATGGCCAACAATGGGGACAAGCTTCTTCTCCCCCAGTAATATGCGCAGACAGCCACTGAGGAGCAAAAGGGGGAGAACCACAAACATCTGCAAGACAAGAAGGTTTAAACATTAGGAAGAGCTTCTTGACAGTCACAGCTGTTTGTCAGTGGAATACACTTCCTCATAGTGTGGTGAAGTGTCCTTCTCTGGAGGATTTTAAACAGAGGCTGGATGGCCATCTCCGAGGAGTGTGCTGATTGTGTGTTCCCGCATGTTGACAAAAAATAATTTAGATTCTGTACTGGTTTTTTTGTGACCTGGCTGTGAAGTGAGAAGCAGAGCAAGCTTGGCTAGAGCCAGTCAATCACAGCCTTCAAAATTCTGTAAAAGGAGGACAATGAGGAAAAGAGACTATAGCCCAAAGGCTAGTCTTTGAAAGAGTTAGGGTGCATCTACACTGCAGGATTAATGCAGTTTGCCGTGGCTCAATGTTATGGAGCAATGGGAAATATAGTTTTACAAGGTCTTTATCTTTCTCTGCCAAAGAGCACCGTTTCCTTATCAAACTACTCGATTTAGGGCAGAGCAGAGTTAGGATTAGAGAAATTCATAAAATCTGGATTGAGTTGGGAATCTGGACAGATTTCAGAAATTTCAAGTTTAACTTACTTCTTACATAACACATTCTTTTTGGTTTGATTTTCTACAACTACGTTTTACTGCTTTGACTGGTACTGCTTTTACCACACTGTAACCACTCATCAATACAGTAACTTGTCCAGAATTGCAGCCACACTGAGGCCTGAGAATCAGGATCCAGGAAGAGATCCAAAGAGTTAAATTCAAGGTGAGGGATTAGAGGCCAAGGATTGAAATTAGAAAGTCAATCTTGACCATGTCTCCATTAAATCAACCTTCTCAGAACACCCAATCATCACCAGGCAACATGATAACCAGCGCTCTCCAGAATGTTTTGTATTGCAATTCCCATCCCACATTGACTGAAGATGGGAGTTGTAGTCCACCCACACATCTAACTCTAAAAGCTCTTATCTAAATTAGAGCTTGGAAATGTTACTTGGGAGACTGTAACTTCTAAAATTCTCCAGCCAGACAGCAAAAAAGGATTCTAGGAGCCGTAGTCCAAAAACATAATGTTTCTAAACGCTGCTAACTGCATTGTTTTCCAAATTATATTACTTTCTTCAATGATGTACACCATGCCTGAAATGTCCATAAAGTGTTTCAGTATATCCAATAACGTATAAATCAAACTGTATTTAAGCCTCTCAAGAACCATTTACCAGTCAATTGAGATGTTATTATCTACTGGTGATAGAATTGTTATATTGCTTGAACTATTACATTTCATAGTATTTCTTACCAAGAGGGATAGTCTTTGGATCAATTGCCCGCATGGCAAAATGTCTTGCAAGTTTGGTTTTAGTTGTTTCTGCAAGAAATAAAAGTTCAGATTCAGGTTTCCAAAGATACAGACTTTCTCTGCCACTTCCTAGCCTCCCTCTTTCTTTCTTTCTTTCTTTCTTTCTTTCTTTCTTTCTTTCTTTCTTTCACTAGTTTTTCCTGAGAATGACAACATAGCAGTGTGAGAAGGTGGACCACTGTATGCTACTTATCCACCTGAAACACATACACTATATGAACTGAGGAATACTTTGCAGAATTTCAGGCAACACTACAGATCTGCAGCAGAGAATTTTATTTAAAAATAAAGGCTGTATCTTCAAATCACTGGTCAACTTATGGTGATCCCATTATACATGTATTTATAGTATAAGGAAGGGAATATCTTGAGATGGTTTGTTGTTTACTTATTTTGAATAGACTCTGCACACTTGGTATTTCCTGATGGTCTCATTTCCAAGAACTAACCAGACCCAACCTCACCAAGGGCCCTTCCACATAACCCTACATCCCAGAATATGAAGGCAGAAAATCCCACAATATCTGCTTTGAACTGGGTTATTATCTGAGTCTACACTCAGATAATGTGGGATTTTCTGCCTTGATTTTCTGGGATATAGAGCTGTGTGGAAGGGCCCTTAGCTTCCAAGTGTAAACAGGCTCTGATGCCTTCAGAATATTTATGAGGGGAAGTACTTCAAAATGACAAATCCCAAAATCCCAAAAGATGGAGTGATAATATGTACTATTAAACTACTCAAGTGTAATATAAGATGGTCAACCTGAGGGGAAAAACACAAATTTGGCCTTGAATCCCCTGAAGTTATTCTCCTCATCACTCTCAAAGTAGATGAGCATCACGCTTCCAGTGCTCCAAACTGGGGAAGGAATTGAGAAACCACAAAGAAGAGCTGTGGGAAGAAAAGAACAGGAAAGTCACTATTATTACAAAACAGCTTTGTTGTGCTTCTCCAATGAAGACTCTCACCTTAAAAGCACAAATCCCTGCATCAAAAAACCCCAAAATGTAACTTATTCAATGTATGCATCCATCATGGTAACTGCATCATCACAAATCAATATAGACTCTTGTTTATTAATGTAACAAATATCTAGTTCACACCCAATCACACCTGTTATTACCTATTTGATGTTCCTCTTCTTGGTCATCATAGATAGCAACAGCATCATAAATACAGTCCTGGCTGGTTTCAATGGCAAAGTCTTCAAACTCCAACTGAAAGGAAAGATGGAAACATTCATCATCAAAGGCATAGGCATAAGCAAAGTGAGGTTTTTTAAAGATAGAGATGAGGTATTCTATTGGGTCAAAAACATTTTGTAAGTACCTGGCATACAGTTTGTCAGTGCCTAATATACAGAAGCATTTATAGAAAGTTAATTGTTTCCCTTACTACGAATGAGGCACAACCACCAAGGCAGCTGTCTTTGATTACCTTGATGACATGTTCCATTGGGGCTTCAATGAGCCAATGGCATTTGGTACTACTGGGATATAAGCCAGGATAATTAGCCGTATCAAACTTTCCTTCTTCTCTCAAAATGGCTACACTGCCACAGCCAGAACCTATGATATAGAAGGAGGAAATTTGAAGTTATCATTCTTGACACACCATTCTTTCCTAGGTTCCATTAAGCAGAGAAACAGTGTTTTATTCATGTCTCACCTGGAAGGCCCTTAGAGACCTGGAAGAAATTACCTGCCTCAGATGCTTTATGAACAGCAGTGAAGGTGAACTCAAAGCCTGCACCAGCATTGCTGTTGTCAGACACAAAAGTGATGATTGCTTGGTTCGACTCTACCAGAAGAGGAGAAGGCAGCACACTGCCACAGATTTTACCTAGAGATGGAGAGTTAGAGAATAGCCCCAGGATGCAAATACAAACATGATAGGTTCTGTAGGTTTCTTCTTTAGTTGAATTTGATTGTAAGCTGGACTCCAGCTATGTAACAAAAACAACAACACTTTATTTATATATCACCCTATATCCCCGAGGGAACTCGGGGCAGATTACAGTACACGTATGTGACAAACATTCAATACTGTTTGGACAGATAGGACAGATCAGGCAGAAAAGAGGTATGTTGTGTTGACGTCCAGCTTTCAGCACCTATGGAGGTTGTGCTCAAATCCTTCCACAGGAGATGCTGTTGCTCCATCCTCTATGAAAAGCCATCAGGACTTCCTCCTCCTTCCTTTTGGTTGCCGACATTTTCTGGTCTTTTTTTATGGTGTCATAAAATACCTCCCCATTTTTTAGCGGTACCTAATTTCTCTACTTACAGCTCTAAGCTGTTTTCAAACTGCTTAGGTACACAGTGAGCTGGGCTGACAATTGGGTGCTCACCTCAATCCGGGCTTTGAACTGGCAACCTTTTGGCTGGTAGATCTTATTTCTGCTACCAGCGGTGCTATAGCTCGGCCCTATAAGCTTTGGACAGCAAAGGGAAAAGTTAACATCCCTGTGGTGTTCGTTTTGCTGTCTGTGCCCCTGTTCTGAAGATTTCACCTCACTTTTTGTCCTTGTGATAATTGGATTGTGAAAAAATGGCTTGTTGTGAAAACAAGGATTGGTGAGAAAGCTTAAGTTGAGACACCTTTTCCCCATTATAATTATTTCAGGAGTAAACTTCCCTTCCTGGAGGTAGATTTCTCTCACTTCCTGATGTATCACCCCTGTTTGTAACTCTGAGTCATTTGTAACTCAAATGTTTGTAACTTGGGGACTGCCTGTATACTAAACATCAATACTAATAAGGCTAGTCCTTTCATGAAATCAAAGTTAACACACCACAAGCTTGGTTATGTTACAACAGTGGCAAATGTATAATCTCACATATATTTGCTGGACTGTCATTTCCATTATTACTGATGAGTGGATTTGTCCAGCCTAGGAAATCCAATCATTAACTGTGTAGGAAGCAGCTGAAAGTGAAATAACTCAGGTTATCTCAATAGTGATAGCTGATCACTCCCATGTCTTTGGGACAGTAAATCCATTCCACCTTTTGCTTAGTTGTACAGGTACTGAACTTAAAGTTAATACCTGGAGTGGATCCAGTTCTCTACTGCCATAGGAACCACCATCCACTGTACAGATGAAGTTTAAAACAACTCACAGTTGTCTCTTTTCTAATCATTGATTGAAATATAGATTCAATATCACTGTGATTTCAGCCTTGGGAAATCCAGTGAAAGCCTCTACTAAGCCTTGATGTAACACACCATACCACTTACTCTTTCTTAGCATAATCTGCCACACATGGAGAAGGGCAGTTTTGTATGTTATTTAAAAAAAGAAATGATTAAATCCTACACACCAATTAACTCCTTGCTTGAGCAAACCGTCACAGAGTCATGGTCGCACTCAATCTGATATTCTATGTCTACTCTGATGAACTGCACAAGTATGATGCTGTCCTCTGGCACAGATATATTCCAGATACAGAGGCTGGAAGCAAAGAAACAAAACAGGATCTAGAATACGTTATGATGTTCTGGTTTGCATGTAATCTTTGGACAGTGGTTGCCATTGTCCAAAATTTGGGATATATGGTAATCTTCTGAGAAAAGATGAATACAACACATTTGCATTAGGGAAATGTGTGCACAAAAGTCAAAGTCACATACAGAAATGCATATCACGACAGGGGAAAAGTGGCAAAAGCATGCATTAGGTAAAACGCATACAAAATTGGGATCTATGTAGAAATGTGTATGAAAAGATATAGGCATTTGTGAAAACTTTTTAAAATCACAGATTAATTAAAAATGGAATGGAAAGGACTTATGAATGGAAAGTCAGAAACTGAAATTTGCAGATCTCCATATCTACATTATTCTGAGGGACTGCACAGAACAGTTGTATGGCATGATGATCTAGTAAGGAAATCTGCGACACTAAGCCTAACTAATACTTTGATTCTCTGCTTAATTACAAATCCTTCTTCCTTTGTGAGAGAAATACCTACAATGCAAATGGCTTAATCATTCAGTCTGATTATGCAAAAATGGATACTGTGAACTACTGCAAATACCTGTTATCAAGGTAATCCTCCTCAGTTAGCTGAGGGTGCCAAATGTGGCCACTTTCTCCAAAAACTGACACTCCACGAGGATTGCAATTTTCTGGATTGTGTGGCGTCAGAGAGGTTGCCTTAGGCACTAAGAAAGTAGGGAAGAATGAAAGTAAATTCATCATGAATGTGAAGAATGCACTTGAAAATTATATTTTTAGACTACTGTCACCAGAATCCCACAATGGATGTGCTGTGAGTGCATTCTGGGAAATGTAGTCAAAATACAAGTTTTCTGAACTCTAAAATGGTTTCATGTCATACTTCTGAGGTGGGGTGTGTACAGCTAGTCAGGAATTCATAGACTGAAACTCCCATCAGATCTAGTCAGCATAGTCAGTGCCGGCAATCAATGAGAGTTGCAAACTAAGAATATTAAAGTTGACCCAACAGCATTCACACCAATATTGAAACAGAAATTGCTGCTGCAGCAATGTCAATAAACCAATCACCCTCGGCTCATCAGATTTAGAAGGATTTTCACAGATCATGTTTGCAAATCTGCAGTTTGAAAAAAATGAGAGAGCAACTGTGATCCTTTATTAAGCCTCTCCTTCTACATTAAAGCTAGTCCTGGTAAGTAAAGCACCATTTACGGTACATGGGGAATATAGCTGTACTAATGCATATCAGTACCCATGCAACCACTACAGCAGTACAGTAGAGTTTTGCTTATTCAACCTTTGCTCATCCAATGTTCATCCAAGGCAGTTAGTTTCCTGCTCGGATCCACAGCTGTTTCAACAGTTGTGTTGTTTTGGTGCTAAATTTGCAAATACAGTAATTACTACATAATGTTACCATGTATTGAACTGCTTTTTCTGTCGACTTGTTGTAAAACATGTTTTGGTGCTTAATTTGTAAAATCATAACATAATTTGATGTTTAATAGACTTTCCCTTAATCTCTCCTTATTATCCAACATTTTCACTTATCCAATGTTTTGCTGGCCCATTTATGTTGGAAAAGCGAGATTCTACTGTACTTTGTTTGTTTTATATATCACTTTTCTCAAAACGTTGGATCCAAGGTTAACCACTATGTTTTAAAAAGATACCCTTTTCAAAAAAAAGAGAGGGTAATATGTCATTAGAAAAGTTAAAATAATCAGTGCAACAGCACTTTATAAGAGAGGTTCCAGTACTTCGCCAAACCATCTCCAGATTATCTTGGATGGAGCTATGGCAGTTAAAGAAGTATCAAAACCATGCAAGTATTGTGCAGATACATATACAATTTAGGAAATAGTGGAGGGGTGGTCTATAAGAGGCAACTGACAAAATGAAAAGGAAAAAAAGATGTTGGAATGTGTCTTTGGGGGGAAATGCTAAGCAATTATCATGGAACAGCTCTGTAAACACTGTATTTTAAAACATTTTCTGACTACAAAGAGTTCTTACCAGGCATAATGTTCTGGACAATAAAATCCAAAAACTCATCTACTTTAGAGAAGATACCTGGAGAACCCCTCCTACTGTTGGGGCTCTTGATTGCCTGCCAGGCCTTTCCACAACCAATGCCCCAAGATGTGATGCCTACCAGAGTCCAGATGCCACTGGCTCTTCTACATGCCAGGGGACCTCCAGAATCCCCCTAAAACAAGACATAACAGCATGAGAATTCCCTCTAGACAAGAAGTTATAGTGTAATCTGCATCAAAATAATGGCATAAAAGGATTTACTTTCATCACATCACATTTTGTACTTTATCACAGAATAAACTTTACTAGGTACTAGTGAGATATACTGTTTTGAGTGTTAAACTAGAACGTCAGAAGACCAGGGTTCAAAGTCATGCCAAAAGATCTCAGCTGGTATTTGGAAACAATAAACATTGCCAAAATCACAATCTGTCAGCTGCAAAAGGCCACCTTACTTGGATCTGTGCACATCATTCAAAAATATACCACACAATCCTAAACGCTTGGGAAGTGTTCGACTTGTGATTTTGTGATATGAAATCCAGCATATATATCTCGTTTGCTGTGTCGCACTGTGTTTTTGTGTCAGTAAAATAAAATAATAATAATTAATAATAATACCGTAATAATAATAATAACTTTATTTATACCCCGCCACCATCTTCCATAGGGACTTGGGGTGGCTTACAAAATAGCACACGATGGTGCCATACAACAGATAAAATACCATACATCAATATTTTAAACATGACAACCCACTGGGTGACCTTGATACAGTCACTCTTTCTCAACTGAAAAGGAAGGCAATGGCAACTCTTCTCGGAGAAGCTTATCACACAATGCAGGTAAATCGCAATTACACCAGGATATAGCATCTGTGGTTGGGACTCATCACATGATGTCATTCATCTTCTGTTGTTCTTCTGGTATGAAAGTGTTTCTTTTACAAACACAAGTAATCCATTAGTGACTTCCTTTTGTAAAAGAAATATTTTCTAATGCTCCTAATGGGAAAACAAAAGAAGAACAATATGATGCCCATTCTGCTGTAATTGTGATTTACCTGCCTCATGTGAGAAGATCCTGAATAAATGCTATCAAGAAATCCCTGTGACATGATTGCTATAAATCAGCGGCACCACAAAGGCACTAAACAACAACAAATTATACTAGGTAAATAAAGACAGCAAGTGTGTAGTTAGGTTGGGATTTAGACAAACCCAGTTCAATTCTCCACAAAGCCAACCAACTCACTAGTTGACATTGGATCAGTTGCATACACACACTCTCTTTCAGTCTAACTAATCAAATACGTTTTATTGTGCAAAGTGTGAACAGAGCCATATATCACAGAAAGGCCAGCATCACTTGCTGACTACTCTATCTGCATGGTTTCTAAAGTTCCTACAATAGGAGAAAGGGAGGATATAATTTTTAAAAAATCAAACAAAATTGTGATGTGAATGAATCACTTGTTAAAAAGTGAATATATGGCACAGAATAGAATTTATGTCTTTAACCTTTATTTTAAGTAGAAAATACTACAATGCCCACCTAGAGCCTTGCCATAGACAAAAGATGCCAGGTCGCTCCTCAAATCATCCTAATAAATTAAATATGATCTGCCAAATCCAGGCAAGACCTCTGTTGTCACAAAGCTCATCTAGAGAGAGGTCATAATTTCTTCTTGCCTTGTATGCTTTCAGGTTGTTCCTGACTTATGGTGGCCCTAAGGTGAGCTTATTACAGAGTTTTCTTGGCAAGATTTATTCAGAACTGGGTTTGCTTTTGCCCTCCTTTGAAGATAATCCAGTGGGTCTCTATGGCTCAGTAGGAATTCTCCAGCCATAATCCAATATAGGCCAACACTCAAACTACTCCAACCCCTAGAACACAGGAATTAAAAGAAGAAAGCTTGAATTTGCAAATTTCTTCAGACGCTAAAATCTCACTAATGCTAAATGCAAAATCTACTCCTTTAATTCCCCCTTTTTTTTTCAACTTTAGGATAAAAAATCCAACAATAAGTTTAATTTTAAGGAGGCAGAAATAAAGCCTCAAATGCCTATAATAATTAAATACGGCCAAGTAAACTTTAATATTAAGACATGAAAAAACTAAAAAGAGTGAAAATTGGTGGAAGAAACATTAACAACCTTAGATATGCATATGACGCCACTTTGATGGCCGAAAGTGAGGAGGAGCTGAGGAGCCTTCTAACCAAGGTGAATGAAGAAAGTGCAAAAGCTGGGTTGCAGTAAACATTAAAAAAACCAAGGTTGTGGCAACCAGACTGATTGATAACTGACAAATAGAGGGAGAAAATGTGGAGGCTGTGACGGTCTTTGTATTTTTAGATCCAAAGATTACTGCAGACGTAGACTGCAGTCAGGAAATCAGAAGACGTTTACTTCTTGGGAGGAGAGCAATTACCAATCTCAATAAAATAGTGAAGAGTAGAGACATCACACTGGCAACAAAGATACGCATAGTTAAAGCAATGGTATTCTCTGTAGTAATCAATGGATGTGAGAGCTGAACCACAAGGAAGGTTGAGCGAAGGAAGATTGACACTTTTGAAATGTGGTGTCGGAGGAAAATTCTGAAAGTGCCATGGACCACAAGAAGATCCAACTAGTCCATACTCCAGGAAATAAAGCTTGACTGCTCACTGGAGGGAAGGATATTAGAGGCAAAGATGAAGTACTTTGGCCACATAATGAGAAGACAGGAAAGCTTGGAGAAGATAATGATGCTGGAGAAAATGGAAGGAAGAGGGGCTGACCAAGATGGATGTTATCCTTGAAGTGACTGGCTTGACCTTGAAGGAGCTGGGAGTGGCAATGGCTGACAGGGAGCTTGGCGTGGGGTGGTCCATGAGGTCATGAAGAGTCAGAAATGACTGAACAAATAAACAACAAAAACTAAAAACCATTTAAAAGCACATCAGCAAAGAAAGCATAACATATACCATTAAAACCTTTCCTCAGCAGTCAGTTATTGCTTAAGTCTATCTCAAGTACTTTGACTTTCTCTCTCTTAACAGACAATCTAGGCTCAATTAAAAGAGAACTGATGGTCAAAAATAGGAACGAACTGTTTGAATAAAATTGCTGATAGCTCATGCTACAAGGATTCATACAAAATAATAAATTTGCTATTAATATGTAAAAAACTTTCTGAACTCTTTGATGATCAGCAGAGGCATGAAATCATAGAAAAAGAGGGGGGTTTTGATTATCCTTTAACTTCTTTTACATTTTTTAATACTTTCCTGAGGCTGGAAATGTGACTTTTGGACACGATGCTGCTCGGTGGGGATTCTGGGATTTTTAGTTACCAAAAGGTAATTTTATCTTTATTTTATTCCAGCAATCTGTATTTCCTACCTGGCATGCATCTTTTCCACCATCTGGAAAACCAGCGCATAACATGTTGCTCCGTATTGGAGGCAAGTTCAATGTTTCTAACAATTCACTGCAGGTCTTGCTGTCAATGATGGGCAGTTCAACTTCCTGTAGGACATCTGACAGAACACCATCTGCAGAGGGAAGTAAGTAAGCAATGTCCAAAAGGCATTCTTCAAGGACGCTAATAGTGGTATAGTTTAGTCTCAGTTCCACCCAACTTTCCTACTTGGTAACAGAAGTCCACATGTGCTCGCTAATGGCACACACATTAAAAATTCAGCCATGGTTTTATAAAAGAATGTTTAATGAGAATACCAATTCTGATGAGGCTGATTAATATTTTACTACTATCACCCTAACATAAATTGGTTATCCCCTTTAAAAATATTTGAAAAATATAGAGAAGAAAAGGCCTTCCTCCAGTGAACACATTAACTTACAGTGTGGAATACATTTATTACTACTGGTTCCATACATATATATATATATAGAGAGAGAGAGAGACAGAGTCTTCCACCAATCCTATATAAGATAATTTGATATAGGGTTGCAAAGTCTCTACTTCTCTGGCAGAGGCCCAAAGCTCCAGTGCACATTCAACCATCCAGAGCACCAACATGCCCATTTCTGAAACTTGTAAGGAAATATGATTTGCCCAACAACTATCTATTCAGTCTCCTGCTTCCTATCTCTTATGAACTGCTTAGGCATCCATAACATTTTAGTCAGTTTGGTAATAGAGTGGAAGACCAGTTGTTATGGTTTTCCTTTATATTAAGGATGGGTCACTTGTGACTCTCCAAATGTGGCTGGACTGCAATTTGCATCAGCTCTATCCAATGATGACAGATTATGGGAAGTGTAGTACAACAAGTGTAGAACTCACAAACTCTGGGGATGCTTGCCACAGATGCAGGTGAAATGTCAGGAGAGAATGCTTCTAGAACATACCCGTATAGCCCGAAAAACCCACAACAACCCAGTGATTCTGGCCATGAAAGCCTTCGACAATATATTGTAGAACAATATATACAAGGCTACAAGTTTGCTGCCCCTTATTTTCTTTTCCTGTAGCTTGCAAAGAAACAGCCAAGCTTAGGTTCCCTGTGGCAACTTGGTACTGCTCAGGTTTTTTTAATTACTTATCATCTCATTGTCATATTGGCTGGAGATGAAGGAAGCTGTAATCCAACACAAAGAGGACACTGGAGAGGAGAAAAAGAGGATGAAGCATTTCTCGTGTTTCTCAGTATGCAACCAAAAGAACTAGTAAAGTAAAGGTAAAGGTTTGCCCTAACATTAAGTGTAGTTGTGTTGACTCTGGGGGTGGTGCTCATCTCTATTTCTAAGCCAAAGAGCCGGCATTGTCTGTAGACACCTCCAAGTTCATGTGGTCAGCATGACTGCATGAGGCACCGTTACCTAGAATACGCATAAAATGTATTTCCAAAAGAGAAACTCTAAAGCAGGAGTGCGGAATCTGTATCTCCACTGAATATTTTTGTGACCTTTCAACATTGTACCAATTACAGCATTATAATTAATTATGATTGCATACTATTAGGATCCTAGGATTTGTAGTTTGGTGAGACAGTAGAACTTTTGGACTCCATAAACTGTGAATCCCAAGATTTCCTATGTTACCATGGTAGTTAAAGTGAAACCATAGCGTTATAACTGTGTGATGTCAAAGAGCATGTGGATGTCAGTTCCAACCAGCCATAGCCAAAATAATGAACGTAAAGGATGTTGGACTCCCATATATTCTCCATTCTAGATGTAAGAGCTTAAACTACAATTGAAGTTGAGGACAGGAGCTATGGTGGCGCAATGGATTAAATCCTTTAGCCGGGTGAACTGATGACCTGAAGGTCGGGGTTCAAATCTGCAAGACCCATGTGGTGACAAGAGAGAAGCCTCCCACAGGATGTTAACACATCCAGGCTTCTCATGGGCAATGTTTCTGCAGACAGCCAATTCTCTCACACCAGAAATAACTTGCAGTTTTTCAAGTCGCTTCTCACAAACAAAAAAGTTGAGGACAAAGAGTCTGGGAGTCAAGAAGTGGAAACAAATCCTTCCATGTATTGTCGAAGGCTTTTTGTCGAAATCCTTCCATCATATTCAATACATTAAATGTGAGCAAAATCTGCATCCATATACTTGACATGGAGAAAGCAACCGTCCTGGAAGCTTCTACACGTGCAACAAAATAGAGATTAGACTACTCTCAGAAAATGGAAACAGTTGCAAAGTGGAGCCTAGATATTTTTATCTTGTAAATGCAAGTTTAAACGCTAGATGGCACTGAATCAACTGAAAGGAAAAACCCAAAGTGCCAGAAAAGCAGAAGTTGAAAGAGAAACCAGGGGTTGACAGTGCAGAACATGGCTATAATTAAAATTTCTCAAAACAGTGGCTTGTCCAAAAAGGAGTTGTCAAAAAGTAGGTGATGCCTATATGCAAAACATATTCAAAGTATTTGCTCCAGTCCGTGAGGAATAGTACTAGCAGAATAACCACAAATATTCATCATCATGATGTCAAAATCACAGTAAGAATTAATAACCGTGGCATTTCTTCACCTTCCTTGACTTTGCCCCATCCACTCACAACACAAAGAGTCCCAGATTCAAACAGATCTCCATTGTGTGGAAGACAGATTGGCTGTACTTCATTTCCTAAAAAAGAAACACGGGAAAGCATAAGTTTTCTTTCAAAACTAAAAAAAAAAAAAAGAATGCCCATGCAAATAATAATAATAATAGTACCTTATTTACACCCTGCCTCCATCTTCCAACGGGACTAGGGGTAGTTCACAAAGCAGTCAAAGGTGCAAACACAAAATATACAAAAAGCGCAGAGACAACAACACAAAGCAACAACAACCAACATAAACATCGCAAAACCTCCCTGATTAAGATCAATAAAATGCAACAATAGGTTCAGAATACAAAACAAACTGCAATCAATATCAGTCTCATAAAGTGCATGGTGAAAAATCTCTAGATCCTCAAATTTCTAGACATGGTCAAAAGCTTGTCTAAAAAGCCATGTTTTCTGTTGTATATCGAAGGCTTGGAGTGTGGGGGCGAGCCTAATTTCCCTCAGGAGGGCATTCCAAAGCCAGGGAGTCATCACCGAGAAGGCCCTCTCTCTCATCCCCAACAACCACACTTGAGACAGAGATGGGACCAAGAGGAGGGCCTCCCTGGTAGATCTTAGTGCCTGCGCCGGTTCGTAGAAGGAGATGCGATCTCAAAGATAGATACTATTTAAATTAATTTGTGTTATGGAGCTACTTTTCATAATTCACTAAAAAAAAGTTTCAACTCCCCCTGATTTTTTTTTCTGATTATGGCCTGCATGCAGGAATGTATAATCAAAACACCCCCAATAGATGGTCATCCAACCACTGTTTTAAAACCTCAATTTTTCTATCTCATTAACTTCACACAATAAAATTATTAAATATAAAATATAAAATAAATTAAACAAAGAAAAGAAAAGAAAAGAAAGGGAAAGGGGAGAGGAAGGAAGGAAAAGAGGGAGGGAGGAAGGAAGAGGGAAAGAAGGAAAGGAGAAGGAAAAAAGGAGGAGGGAAGGAAGGGGGGGAGGGAGGAAGGAAAAGGAAGGAAGAAGGAAGGAGGGAAAGGGAGGGGAGAGAGAGGGAGGGGGGGGAGAGAGGGGAGGGGGAGAGGGAGGAGGGGGGAGAGGGGGGGGGGGAGAGGAGGAAGGGAAGAGGGGGAGGAAGGGAAGAGGGAGGGGGGGGAGGGGAAGGAAGGAGGGAAGAGGGAGTGGGAAGGAAGGGGATGGAAGGGTGGGGGGGGAAGGGAGGAGGGAGGGAGGAAGGAAAGGGAGAGGGAAGGAAGAGGAGGGAGGGGGGGGGGGGGGAGGAGGAGGAAGGAGGGAGAGGTGGGGGGGGAGGGAAAGGGGAGGGGGGGAGGGGGGAGAAGGGAGAGGGGAAGAAAAAAGGGAAACAAAGGGAGAAAAAAGGGAAGGAGGGGGAAGAAAAAGGAGAAGA